TTTAATCTTCAGTGTTCTCAAAAGGTCCACGTGTAAAGCTTGGTCCTCAGTTTAGCTCTCACAGAGATGGTGAGGCCTGATGGGAAATCCTTAGCCCACTGGGGACACACCCATGAAAGGGATTGTGAGACTCTGTGCTCCTTTGTTTTACCCCCTAGCCATGAGGTTAAGCAGTTTTGCTTTGCCATGTATTCCCACCAAGATGTACTTTCTCACCACAGGCCCAATAGCAACAAGGTCAATCAGTCATGATAAGAACCTCCAAAAGTAAGCCTAAATAAACACCTTTTCCTTTATTAAGTTGAAACTTCTACTTAAGTATTTACTACCTAATGGAAAGCTGACTAACAACATCACACAACAGGAGGTAGAGAAGGAGAACAATATTTAAATGACAGTATATTGGTGTATAACGTTGATACTTAACTGTTATTATCTACTGAAATAGAATGCTGAATTTACAAACTATCTAAAGCAAAAAATTTTGACTGTATGTTTCCAAGCATCAACAAGTTATGATGTCTTAAAATGCAGACACTAGGAGATATAAAATAGGGCTCTTATGCCTAAAATAACTCACAAGTTAGTACATGAAACATATTTATAACAAGATAAGAGTGTTGAGAAAAACACAGAGGAATGATTTAGAAAGAATGGAGAAAGGAATGTAAATCTAAATTAAACTTAAAAAAAAAATCCAGGCATATAGAAGACTGAAAGACGTTACAACTAGAAAGAACAGCATGAAGAAAGCTTAAGAGTAGAAAACTAGGAAAGGTTGTATAGGGAAACCATAAACAATTCAGTACTACTGAAGCATATCATAATTACAGAGCAAAGATATAAAGCAAGAGTTGAAAGCAGTGGCCAGATTGAAGAAATCCTTGTATGATATATTAAGGAAGCTGGACGTTATCCAGTAAGCAGGGCTTTTCACAAGGGATGGCATAGTTAGGATATAATTTTAGAACAATCATTTTGACAGGCATGTGAAGGAAGAATATGAGTGGTACAAACTGAAGGCAAAGAATCTAGTTAAGAATCTGTAGCAGAAAGAATATGAGTGGTACAAACTGAAGGCAAAGAATCTAGTTAAGAATCTATAGCAGAGATGAAGGGTTCATTCCATGGGAAAAGGCATAGCAGGTAAAAGACATAAGAAGGCAAATAAATCAGCAGGACTAGGAAGGGACTAGGAACAGGGTAAAGACATGAACAGAAAGAAAAGGCATGGAATGGATCCACATTTCTGTTCAGGCAACTTAAGAACTGAGATACTGAAAATAGGGGAAGAAATAGACAAAAATATCAAGTTCAGTTTAGAGCATGTCAAGTCAAAAAAAGGAAGGCAGAGATGTTTTCCAGCCAAGTGAACACTACCCAGAGCAGCCTAAACTGAAGAAATGTAAGTGTGGATGTAAGCTGCACACAGGTTGTAACTAAAACCTTAAGAGTCAAGGTGACTAGCCAGAAGGAAGATGTGCAGTACAAAGATTTCTTGGCCAGAAGTCTGCAAAATACCAACACTGAGTACTACAAAAAGGAAGAACTATCACAAGTAAGAGAAATCCCAGCACACAGTAGGAGAGACTTTCTCAAGAAGGAGATGGTGATCAGCAGAACAAAGTGTAGTCTAGAAATAAATCCAGAAAAAAATAATAGCTCAAAATTGTCTATTTAAGGATGGAGTTCTTGAGTATTCCCCCAAATATGGGATTCTGGCATTAGAGAAAACAGTAGAAACAGGAGGATAGAAGACTGCACTTGTATTCCTCTTGCCCTGCTTCCCTACAAGTAGGTCATAACACCTAGAAAGCACTTTCTGACTTTCCCTATACTTGGAGGAAAGAAATATTTTCACTTCTGAAGACACAGGGACACAAAGAAGGACCTAAATAAAGAGGCCTTGCTAAGATCCCCTCAGTTTATTACCACAAGGGTTGGATACTCCTTCTCCACCACACTTCCCCATGATGCCCTGCCCCTTCATTAAACCTAGACATCAGAACACGAAAGTTGCTATTTGTGTGGGTCTTCATTTGCAAAGGTTTTTATGCCATGTAAAACTTACATTAAACATACTTGTAGGTTGTTCTCTTGCTAATCTGTCTTCTGTAACAAGGACATCAGCCATGAACCTACCATGGAAAGTAATTCTTTCTCCCTACACTGGAAATTAAACGGTCACTGAAGAATTCATTAAAAGTGGCTTCTATCAAGTAGATAAGACAAGGAGCTCAACTGTAGTGATTAAGTACAAATAATTGAGTATAGACCACTTTTTAATTTTTAAAAATTTTAATCATTCACAATTTAATGAAGATTGGAAAGATCAACTCTAAAATCTTTTCCAGTTTTCAGGCTCTACTTTTGTCCAAGGGGATGAAAATCTGATTAAAACCCACACAGATTAAATTTGAAGTAGATTTTAATTATTTAAAAAATGGAGCATTCAAATGGTAGCTCTTTAACAATTTCCCAGAATGCCTCAGAAATGCCTCATAAAATGATCTTTTTAAATAATATATAAAATGGAGACAGAAGAAAGGGGAGGCCTCTTCTTGCTCCAACTATGCCCTTTCTTAAGGCTTCACAGAAACCTATTTTGACACTCTCTGCCTAGAAATCCTTCTCCTGTATTTTAGTTTAACCTCTACTTAACCTTCAAAGGTCTACTCGAAGTTTACCTTACAGAATAACAAACTATATAAAGTTCAGTGAATTTAAGTGTTTCTGCCATGCTGATGAAGGAGTAAAATCACAGTTTCAGAGAATAACTTGGCCAAGGTTATACTCGCAGCTTGTGCCACAGCTAAAATAGGAGCCATTTCTTCTACTACTACCATCTCATTATTGCTTCCTTAGGTAATTATTAAGATTACAATAAGATTTAAAAATAATCTATTTACTGTGAGGCCCAAGCTAATGATACTCCTGAAAACTAAGGACCTAGTCTACCACTTCTTAGTTTGAGACAAGTAAACTAACCTGATTATACAAATAAAGATTACAGATGTCAACTGATATTTATTTCATGGATAAGCTGGCTGTCAGTCACTAACCAGGATCTTTCTCCATGAGTGCAGCATTTATTTCAGCCTCTGCCAGTGGAAGTGTTAGAGCAGATGTTGGCAGACTGTGACATACAGTATATCTTTAAAACTTGGTGGGGTGTGAAATTTCATAAGGTCAAAAAATGCTACATTTTGATCAGCAGATACAAGAATTCTATATTTTCATAAATTATTTCAGACAAACCAGTAGAATGCTAGTAAGGACACTGCTTTGATAATATATGATACTAATGCTTCAAAACGTAATTCCTATCTTTTTAAAACAAAAGTTCAACAATGATCTTTAAACATTTTCAAGTCAATACAAAACACAAGATATTTCAATTAGCAAAAGGGTTTTAAAAATAACTTCCTACTAAATAAAGCCATCATGGGCTGGGGAGATAGCTCGGCAGTCTAAGCACCTGCCTGGCAAGCACAAGGACCCAGGTTTGATCCCCAGTACCAAATGCTGCGCCAGACCCATGACCCTGGGCACGCCATGCCAGCCATAGAAACTGGGTGTGATGATGGCACACACCTATAATCCCAGATTGGGGAGGCTGAGACAGGAGGATCACTATGGGGCTGAGCTGCTTAGCAAGTCCTTATACCAAATAAGTAAATAAATAAAATACTAAAATAAAGCCATTAATATCTAATGAACGTCATAGTGGGAGAAAGGTACTTTTTAAAATATTTAATATGATTATGGTCTTTTTAAAAAATGAAATCCCTACATACATGAATCCAGTATAAGTTAGTATCTTTATGACTCAGATGGCTCCACAAGTTCTTTGATTTATCTTTCTCTTAAATAGAAGACAAAAAAGGGATAACAACACTGAAGTTTTTAATCCTGGTAAATGAATTAGAAGTGTAACATTCAAGGACTATTTTCTTGGATCATGTGCTATTTAACTGCACCTTAGTTTCAAATTTCCTATATATCTTTTCCACTAACAACATATAACCAAGACAAAGCTTAAGTTATCTAGTTTAAACAAGTATCTCAATGATACAGACTCTAGCTTTCACACAATGACTTAAAAATGGTTTATTTCTGAATTAACACAGAAAACTCTTTTCACTGGTAAATTAGTATGCCTCAACAGTCTGAAAGGTCTGGTGGTAACATAACAACAACTACTGTCACTGTCATCATCATCTTTCAGTTTATTTTTGTGCCATGTTTAAACCAACATAAAATTTCTAAATAAACGACAAACGTTGTTGATATTTGTAAGGAAGAAACTTGAAATCATCCCTGAAAATTTCTAATGTATATCATTGTTTTTCATCACACAATCAACAAATAAGCTAAGATTATGACAAAAAAAAACCTTGATTAGAAAAGTACCAAGCACTGTAACATCTTGTGACTAAGTTCAAAGATTTGTGTGTGTGTGTGTGTGTATATATGTATGTGTGTGTGTCCCCCAGTACCGGGCTCAAACTTGGGACCTTATGCTTACCAGGCAGGCACTTATGCAACTGAACTCTAAACCCAGCCCTTTTGCTTGTATTTTGTGGGAAAAAAACTTTTAACTATATATTTGGGAAATGGCACATATTCCAATTGATTTTCAAATGTGACAAATTAAACTATATTATACTGTGTAAGACCATATATTATTAATTCTATACTAAGGTACTGACACTTCTAGCAAAGCTGAAAAATTCCGTGAAAAAAAAAAAAAAAAAAAAAAAATATATATATATATATATAGAGAGAGAGAGAGAGAGAGAACATAGAATATATGAATGTATTTATATAAAATACATGAATATATTTGCATATAAAAATTTTTGAATGCATTTACTTATGTATTTATGTACACATACACACACACACACACACAGGCTTTTTATATACCCTAAGATACTTGATGGACAGAATCTCACAAATAAATAAATAAATACAAGGTGAATCAACAATTAACTTACTTGCCACTGAAAAGTTGTTGAGGGGATAAGGTAAATCCACGTCTTGAGGTTTCTCTTTATATCCTATGAAGGAGCCATCTGTCTTCAAAAGGAAGTATCTTGGCCTCCAGTTTTTTATATATTCACCTACATAAAGAAAGCAAGCACGTTAATGCTGAAAAACATGAACAGCAGTTTTTAGTGCGAAAAGTTAAGTTATGGTACAATGTATGTCTTGCAATACTGGCCTCCAAAAATGTAGGCAATTTTCTTTTAACTTAGCTTACAAAACAAAATACATAGGCCTACAATTAAGATTCAGTGAAAACCCAAACATGTTTTGTTTTTAGTGAGTTCAAACTTTGGTAATTCACTTGCATCCTTATTCCTTCAGAGATGCATTCATCAGAGTACACATTTGGTTTAGTTTTTCATTTCAAATGGTTGCCAGAGATTTTTTCTGGCCATTTTAACAAAACTCGGTAAGTCATCCACACATTATCTGTAAGTTTTGATGAAAAATACTCCTTAAAGAAAATGAAATAGATGTTCCTCTTCCATGTACCATTAATTGTATAATTTTAAAATATAATTTCACTATTAAATTGTGACAATTTGTTTTCATGAGAAAACGTTTTATATAATGCTGCAAATACATCAAAAAATTAAAAGAACATGAGTTAGTAAGGTCTAACACCATACACAAAGTAGCATACACAAAAACAGAAGAACACACAGTTGCACTGTTGTGATTGCCTCCAGGTTCTAAGATGATTTAAAAGGTTTGCCTTTCATGGTTGTCCTGACTTCAGGGAAAAGGCACAAGTCGCAGAGAGGCAGGCTCAGGGAGTAAGGTCGATGAGGGCATAGTGTAATGCTTTCATTGACAGAAATGGCTATATATTATTTGAACTGATTCAAGACAATGAGGCAACTGCAAAAAGATACTCAAGAAAGGGGACTTGGAGAACTACTTCAGAAAGTGGCAAGAATGACTGGATAAGTATGTTCCAAGGCACAGCAGTGTTTTGAGGGAGGTTAACCTTTTATAGTAACAAATTTTATATTTAAATGTCACTATATTTGTTGACCATACCTTATAATAACCAATAAATACATACTTCATTAGCTTTATAGATAAGTTTGCACTTAGCATCAAAACAGCTTCTTAATTCGAAGCAAAAGCAGTGCTCCACAGTACCACAACAGCTGACTGGCTACCTTGCTTCATTTTCCAGTTCTTCACCAGTTCTATTCTGTTATTAAATCTCACAGGCTGAATCACAGAAATCTTGCACTTCTCCCACTCCTTATGCCACATGTAGCTACGTCAACACGGGCCTTACAAGTCTCTCAGTCAGCTTAAGCCCAACTGGACCATTATTAACACCTTCCATCTTGCTAATTCCCTGTGATGGCCTTCCCCCACTCTACTTCCCACCCCTTCCACTGAACTGGATCTTTCACCTCCACATTGCTCTTACCCATGTGTAAGCCCCTCTGGAGTGCAACCTCATCCCAGACGCAATCCACATGCGGAGGGAGCCACCTCTTAAGTCAGTAATTCTCCGACTTACATAAGAACTTCTTTACATCTTAAATATTACTCAGAACTCAATGAGTTATTATGTAAAATGTCTATAATGTTAATTAAAATTAAATAAAGCTTTAAGTTATTATTTATGTAAAAATAACAAACATTCACTGTGTATAACATAACGTTTATAGAAAAGCAACTTTTCTAAAACCAAAAACAAAGTGAGAAGAGCAGCACTGCTTTGGATTTTTAAAAATCTCTTTAATGTCTTCCTTAACAGAAATAGCTGGATTTTCTTCTCTGCTAACTATATTCAGTCTGTTGCAGTATGTTATTTTGGTTGAAATATAGGGTAAAATTTTTAACTAAAACATGTAGCTACAAAACGGAAGACTGGCTATTCAAATAGTTATGTATGTAGTTCTTTGATACTACACCAGAACTCAACAAGGGATAGTTTTGAAAAGGTTTGTAGCTTGGAACTCAAAAGCTCGTAATGAATTTTCTATGCTCTGTTATATGAAGACCCACAGACCTATCCTGCGCTTTGAATGAATCTTTTGCATGGTACATGACTTTGGAACATGTTTATCAACTTATGCTGAACAACAAATGTTGATACCTTTCATACAATTGTATTTGTTATCACTATAAATCTCACCAAAAGCATGGAGAAGCTATCAAGCTCATAATGGCAGGTATGTTTCCCGAAATTCTAATCTTTACTTAAAAGCTCAATTTTCATCATTCTCAACAAACACTACCAGTCTTTTCTCCTTGCACTGATACATTCTAAGTACTCCACTTACAGATTATCACCCTTGACTGGTAAAATCAGAATGTTTAAGTTTGTAGTTTCCTTTTTTAAAAAATTAAATAATTCCTTTCTTGATTGCCTTTATTTTTCTCTATTTCTATATAAAATTTAAAATCATTACATAGTAATACTTCAATTAATGACAGATTTTTTAAACTGTACACTGTAAGTCTTTCAGGCTTAATACCAAGTTAGCATTAAAATAGGCTCCTAATTGTAAGCAGATATATCAAAGATGAAAGAGAACTAAAATCCAATTGGGAAAAAAGAAAACATGAGATAACACCATTTCTTTTTATTTTGAAATACAACTGAAGCTGGACTTGATGGTGCACACCCACCATCCTAGCACTTGAGAGGCCGAGGCAAGAAAAGGACAAGCTGAAGGCCAAACTTGGGCAATTTAGGGAGACCCTGTCTCAAAATGAAAAGTAAAAGTGCTAGGGATGTAGTTCTGTGTGAATACCCTGGGTTCAATCCCCAATACTGGAATAAAACAAAACACTCAGTTAAAATCTATTATGTGGTCTACAAGCCAGACTTATAGTCAACAAAAAAAATTATCATGCATCCCTTAAACGTAATACATTGTACTCGGTGAGATACTCATTCACACACAGAAAAAGAGAAGTCAACATTTCCCTTCTTGTTAAAAGAAAAAGATTATTTCTCTTGAAATTACTAATAATTTTGAGTTGGTTCAATTAATCAGTATTTAGGAGTTTTGATGAAGATTCCTGAGTCTACTTTCTATTTTGTCGCTTTCATCTTCAGTATGAATGGACTTACTAAAATGATGTTTAGAATATATTCATTATTTATTTTTTTAAGGTGCTAGGGACACAAAGTGGATTCCTCCCCTGCCTCCCAAACACAAAAAGGTTTCTGATCTTCTAATACTACAGCAAGTGAATTTCTAGTAAAATTCAGAAGTAGGGCCTGGGGAGATAGTTCAGTTGAATAAGCACTTGGCCTGGCAAGTGCGAGGGCCTGAGTTCAATCCCCAGTTCTGCCAAAATAAATAAATAAATAAATTCTGAAGTAAAGTTCACATAATAGCATGGTATATTGGACCAGTTAAATACCCATTTCTGTAGTTCCAAAAATAGAAAGACAAGGTTGTTTGACCTCTAGAAGGTATGTCTTACACAAGCTAGAACAAAAACAGCAAAAACCTCAAACCTCAAGCTTTTGTGCTATTTAGTCGATGTAGTGCAGAGAAGGTTCTTGGCCTGAAAGAATGGAGAACATTTTGGGGGAACATGTATGCACAGCACAAAACAACAAGGCAGAATTGTTCCTGCTGTCTACAGATGATCAGGAAAAGGAACTGCATACATCTGTCACTCAGTAGTTGAGGCACACAGCTGAGACAAGGAATACATTCTCAGACTGTTCTAAAAATACGGATAAAATGCCCTGCCACTCCTGCAGCTTAGTCCCCAGAACAAAGGTCCCTCCCTACACCCAATCCTTTCAAGATGAAGTGCTATAAATTGACCACAACCTTACTTTTAAACAGTATTTGCACTTGTTTATAAAAAACGTACTTTTATATTTATAGGTAATAAATTTCAACTAATGTAGATGATAACTTAGTATTGGTGATGGAAAGAATTATCAGAAAAGAAGCATTTATAAGGTATCAAGTTTCCAAAAAAAGATTTTCTATGGATAGCCACCACGAGTATGAAATACCATGATAAACCTACAAGCTATCAGCTATGTCATGAGGTGACAGTGTAGCAGAAAATGCCCACCCACCCCAGCCAGTAGTTTCTTAGTTTCACAGGTAAAGTTCCTGTTACACTTCCTGTTACTTCTGTTTATTACAAACAGCTGGTCACTGTGATGCATACTGTGAGAACCAATCACACAGCCAACAATCCTGGCCAGCGCCCATCAATGTAAATAAATCTGCCTCCAAATTTACTGACTGATTTTTCAGTGTTTTTGTTTGCTGTTACAACAGAAATTTTTCAGCTCCATTACAATTTTGTAATTATTCAGCTCCATCCTAATCTCTGAAACTTCTGGGTATTACTTTACATAGTAGAAAAGAATAGATTTCACCTTTATTCAGTGACTTAAGAATTTTTGAAAAGTGATTCTCCTGCATCATCTGGATGAGCCCTGAATCCAATTACCAATATCCTCATACAAGTAGATTCAACACATGGAGAAAACAAAGAGGCGATTTGACCACGGAGGCAAATATTCAAATGATTATGCCAACAAGTCCAGGAATACTGAAGCCACCTCTTGCTAGAAGAGAGAATGGATCCTCCCCTCCAGCCTTCAAAAGAGTATGGTCCTGCGCGTACCTTGTTTTGTGACCTAAAGCCTCCAAGAAGACATTCCTGTTGTCTTAAGCCACTTTCATTACTTGTTATAAGAGCCCTAAGAAACTAACACAGCCTCTAAGTAATATAACCAAGGATTCTTTTTGAACAACAAATATTCTTGGCATGAGAGGTATACAGATTCAATTACACATTCTAAATGAAAACACATACACACCTCCACCTCACTCACTCCTCTAAATGGTAGAGGACCTATTTGAGAATTGTGGAGTTGAAAGAGGATTTTTTTTCCTAGAGTTCACAGTTTTAGTTAGTTATGACTGTATATTTTGAAAGTATGCTATAATTTGCTTCATTTAATAATTTATTTCTTCTAATCTAATTTTAAATGAATAAACGATCTCAACAGTTTTGAAAGAATGCTGGCTATAGAAAATAGGATAAAATAAATTGTTATTTTTGGTTCTAACATTTTGTTCTATGTTACTGG